AAAATTATAATAAGTTTACTAAGTTATTTTCTCTATCACTTGCACAGTTTCGTGTATGTAAAACTATAGGTCAGGCAGCTGAAGGTGAATGGTTGCTAATTCTGATCCCTCTGATCTTCCAGGTTTGAGAGGTTTTTCCAACATACCCTTTTCAATCTCCTCCTTCAAGTCACCTCCATGGAACTGCTATTGTTGGAGGAAGGAAAGCTGATAGTTCTTTTTGGAGGTTTTCACATGTTCTGGATAGAGCTGTTCTGTGGCTCTGAAGGCTGCTGGGAAGTATTCTAAATTTTCATGGCTTGAGGGAGATGAGACCTGCTTTGACTTTAAATATGTATCCACTCTCCAAAATGACCTGATAAAGGTATTGATCACTTACATTCTGTGCCCTAACCCTGCACATTCATCCTGCTCTGATTGAATGTGAGACAACAAGAACATTCTGCAATTGTTTCCTTCCTTCATTTGCAGGAGAAGTGTTAACACACTCTCATAACATACCCTCACAATTTTTCCATGCAAATAATCAAGCACGATAAACATCAGCAGAGGGCACTATTGAGGTATAAATAGAATAATAATACATTGAAATAATAAAAAAAAAAAAGGTGTTGCCATGTGTTTTCAGTTTTCATTCATAAAATCACAGCATAATTTACAATGAAAGGGGCCCTGAAGGTCATCAGGTCAATCCCTGCCTCAGAGAGCCAAATTGAAACTTAGATACAATTACTGTGGCCATGGTAATGTGTCTACATTTTTGGATAATCTGTAACAACCTGCAATCAGATTAGTTTTTTCTCCAAACCATTTTTGTATTCAGTTGTGAGACTGGATGCAAAAAATGCCCAGAGCTGAAGTGTAGTTATTTTGTATGAAGAATACTAGAAGAAAAAGGTTTAACCATTTTTGTTTCCAAAGTCAGTAAATGGTATTTTTTAACAATTACTCATCAACTTTAATAATAATAATAGGCAAGCATGAAAAAAAAAAAAATTAGTCCTAAGAGTACCTTGTTACTTCTGTAAGACAAGATTGACCAGCATGGTAATATCAATGTACCTGCTGTTGGAGCAACATGTCATTGTTGGGTTTGGGGGGTTTTAAAGTATGGTTTCTACAGTATTTGCTACTCAATAATATGATTTTCTTTTTTTCTAACACCCTTGTTGGAGAGCTGAAGTAGATAACAACAGGAAGAATTTTAACAAATGAATACTGATCTCGTGTTTTAAAACTTTGAAGATGTGCTGTATTGAACATGTGGACAGAATAATAGAAAGCAGAGGCTTCTCCAAATCAGTGAGTTTTATTAAGGAAATTTTTTTTCTTTTTTTTAATATAAACACAGCCCTAGCCTGTCATCATTACTTGAATTAATTCCAGTTCCTTTTTTAAATCTGCTTGCTTATATTAGCTAAAATTTTATTGGCTAAAATGGTAAACTGTTGAATTTTGTAGGATACAGCATTTTCCTTTAGCTCATCCAATTCTGCAATGCTTTTCAAGAGCATATTTGAGACAAAAGTGCTGAAGTCTGAGCTGTGGAACAAATGCCTGTTTTAAAATACCAAACACAATGCTATGTCAGGGAGTTTACTGACACTTATGTCACATGAAAGAACTTCTGATATTTACTTAAACCACTTGCATGCACTAATTATTTGTATAATTGACTTCAGACAAATGTTTTACTGCTGCCTTCAGTCCGAGGAGCAACGTTGTTATTCTCAGTGCCTAATTTTCGACATTTTTTTGATTGGCACACTGTTAGTTACAATGTTTATGCAGACAAAATATTTGTGATTTTACATATTAAATAGAAATGCTAAAAAGGAGAACATCTTTTTAAATTCTCTTTTTGCTCCTAGAAAAGTGAAATATAGAAGAGTGAGTGTTGTTAAGTCACTCTTGCGAGTAATATATTTGCCTACCTCTGTGGCCAGCAAACTGAAACGACTGGTAAAGACATCATTGGCCTCTTAAAAGCACTTCCCCCTCTCAGTTGAATCAACTATATTTGAAAGCTGTTTAGCTTTCAAATTCTGGCTCCTCTCAGATGGTGAGCTACCCCTTTAACATAAGCAGTGGGTTTAGTTAAATGTCAGTTTAGATCCCTGGCAGCCCTCCAAATAAATTAGTTCTAACCAGCTCGGGCAAATGGCCCCATGAGCCACGTGCAGCCTGGAGTGTTGCTGTGCACATCCCCTTGGGAGACCAAACACCAGCTGCTCTGGGATTCAGCGGAGGCTGAAGGTGCTGGGGGGCCTGAGGTGGAACTGTTCTGTTCTCAGTACCCAGCAGAGCTTGGCTGTGGTCAGAACCTTGGCAGGAATTCTGTGATGTTTTATGTGGGGTTGCACTGCTTGCAGACCTGCACGGCTCGGGTGGGGCAGGTTGCAGATCAGCTCTGTGCTCTCCAGTGTCGCTGCTTCCTGGAACACCAGGAGAAGGCTCTTTGTGCCACTGTTGAATTATCCCATTGGTGTAGCAGTTGGAAGCAGGTCCAAATGAGCAGGCAATATATTTTGATTACTGATAAGAAGCTTTTGTCTTTGATGGATGGGAATGTTTGCAATGTGGGAACAATATAAAGTCAGAAAACGTACTTCCAATTAGTATAGTATTAAAAAAAAAGAAACAACATTTAAAAAAAATTTTAAATATTCCTAGTTTCAAAATGTTGAAGTTCTCTTTATTTTTTGTTTAGGTAACATCAGCAAAGCTTTTTTTTCCCTATTTGATTTCATTTTTAATTTTATACTGAACATGCAACTGAGTAACACTAGCTGTGGAACAGAGGTAGGGATAAATATCTGTGCAGGTAATGTGATAGTTGGATGTGTTGGAAGATGATGGCATGAAGGAGGGGAAGTATTTGTGTAGTGAGTTTTAAATGGCATACAGTGTGAAAGAGTTGGGGCCATGCAAGGCACAGAAGGAGAAAAAAACCAGTTTAGGACAACTGCTAATGACACTATCTTTTCTGAGTACTGGCTGGGCTTTAAACAACAAAAAATTCACAACCTGGCAGTCCCAGCAGTGCAAATGTGGGAAGGGCCCCTACTGTAAACTTGTGTATCTCCTGCAGAAAATGTAGCTCAAAAGGAATATCAGGGACAATTATGAGGGGCTGACCAAACCTTAACAACGTGCAAGTTATGAATGGCCTTTGTTTAAATGGTTGCTCTTAACTGCCGAGGCACAGCGGTGACCAGCACTGCAAACAACACACATCAGCACTCCTGCTGGCAGCCCTTGCAGTGAGTGTCGGGAGGGCTCTCGGTGGAAAGGAATGCAAGGTCATGCATTGTATCATCCAGGAACTGGAAGGAGTTGAGATACGTGAAATCATGTGGGAAAGCAGCTGAATTACACCTGATCTACTGCAGAGGCACATATTCCTGGTGCTTCTCAGAGGCAGGGACTAAACTTACGAAAGAACAACTAATGATTTTAGTCATGACCTTGTGAAATCAGTGTTACTGTGGCTGATTAAAATCAAGCACGCAGCACTACAGATCCCTCATGTAACATCCTGTCTTTGGTGTTCCTCTTCCTCCCCCCACCCCAAACCCCAGCACAATGCCCTCAAATGGCGTTGTACTTGCATAATGAGATTCTGGTTTGTGTACTTTTTGAAAAGATATTTTAAAATTGCTCATCATTGTCTTTTTTGGTGGCAAATTTTACTTCAACTTTGTAGCAAATCATAGTGAGAGTTTTGTATTTTTTTTCTGTTATCTTAATATTTTCAAGTTGCAATTCTTTTGGTGACTTTTCCAAGAGGATGACCAATTGCTCTCTTGCTTAGTTTATATTCTGTTGCTATTCTAATGGGATGAGTGAAGAGAAGAGGATATTGTTTATTTTTACTTTCCTCTGCAGGGCTTTGCTTTGTGACACTTCTCTGTGAAATTATCCATATGTTTCCTTAGTAGTTTTCAAGGGAGACTTAATGTCACTATTATACAGAAAATGATGACATGCAAGGTGCTGCTCTTTTTCTGGCAATCTCGATTTTGTTCCAAAAATTTTGTTTAAAATAAAATCAGTGGGATTTACTGCCAAGGATGTTTAAATGCTTCTTACATTGTGAAAGAAGTTAAGAGTTAATTTAAAATCCTTCATTTCCCCAAATTTATTCTGAACCTCTAAGAAAAAAAAAAAGAGTGATGGAAGGAAATTTCTTATAAATACTTGCAGGGGCACTTATAAGTTTCTTGAATTCCTGGAATTGAAAGCAACTGTATGTATGTAGTGCATCCTCCCAAATCCAGGTAGCTAATTATCTACAATAATCTTTCTAAAAGTAAACAGATTAGATCAGTGTGTCTCATAAGAGAAGCTTTATGAGGCTGCTCTATTCTGATCTGCAAACACAATTGGTAGGAATTCCCCATTTGTTTTGGAAATACTGACACTGGCAAACCTATGGGTTTTTCACTAGGGAAATGTAGACAGAGCAACTGTGTAAAGAAAGGAAACAAGCCTTTTGCCTTTCATTCATTCAACTGTTTTTAAGAAATGGTAAATTACCTTAATAAGCCTATTTCCAAAAGGGAGGAGGTGTGTCTGTACCTGGGTCTGTCCCAGTGGTCTTCTGAGCTTGGTTAAGGTTTGTAAATTCTACTGTGTTCTTGGAGTCAAGTTCTTGCCCAGTAACTCAGCTCACAGATACTTAATGGCATTTTTTGCAACACTGCAAGCAGGAATGGAGATTTAGTACTGAACAGGTGGCAGAGTACTGAGGAATAGTTGTCGAGTTGATATTCTTCAAGCAATCTATTTTTAAAGTTGTATTATTCTTTTTTCTATTACTGAGGTTCTGTAAAAAGGGAAAAAAACCCCAAACCCTGAAATTGTGTAGAGGTTAAATGTCTGGGTGGTAGATGTGTAATTAGAGAAGTGGGCAATGGCTGCCCTACCTTGTTGTGTGGCAGTAAGATTGGATTTTGAGGACTACTGATGGCCATGTCAATTGTTATGTTTTTTTCTAGCATTTTCTCATGTCTGTGTTTGAAGACTTGGAAGGAACAGCAATTCAAGGACCCTTAAGCAAGTATTGTATCTCAGCTTGGCAGTTCAAAACCATAAACCTTCAAAGGACAGTGCTTACTTGTGAGGAAGACAGGATCATGCTCAGCTAGTACTTCAGCCTGCTAACTCATTTAGGTATGTTTTCTGCTAGTGCAGTAAATTTGCTCCTCCTGTTTAATATCTTTATTGATAATCTGGATGAGGGGATCAGGGGCACCCTCAGTCAGGTTGTAGATGACACCAAGGTGGGTGGGAGCATTAATCTGCTGGAAGGTAGGAAGCTCTGCAGAGGGATCTGGACAGGCTGGATTAATGGGCTGAGGCCAACTGTAGGAGGTTCAACAAGGCCAAGTGCTGGGTCCTGCACGTGGGTTACAACAACTCCCTGCAGTGCTTCAGGCTGGGGAAAGAGGGACTGGACAATGGCCCAGAGGAAAAGGACCTGGGAGTTCTGTTTGACAGATGGCTGACCATGAGCCAGCTGTGTGCCCAAGTGGCCAGGAAGGCCAGTAGAATCCTGGCTTGGATCAGGAATAGTGTGGCCAGCAGGAGCAGGGTAGTGATTTTCCTCCTGTACTTGGCGCTGGGGGGCCACACCTCGAGCCCTGTGTCCAGCTCTGGATACAAGACACTGAGGTGCTGGAGCAAGTCCAGAGAAAAGCAACAGAGCTGCTGAAGGGTCTAGAGAGGAAGTCCTGCAAGTAGCAGCCAAGGGAGCTAGGAATGTTTAAGAGGCTCAGGGGGAGACCTTATGACTCTCTACAACTCCCTGAAAGGAGGTTTCAGTAAGGTAGGGTCGCCCTCTTCTTCCAGGTAACAAGTTACAGGACAAGAGTAAACAACCTCAAGCTGCACCAGGGGAGATTCAGGCTGGACATAGCAGGAATTCCTACACAGGAAGGGTTGTTAAGCTTTGGAACAGGCTGTCTAGGGAGGTGGTGGAGTCACCATCTCTGGAGGTGTTCAAGAAAAGATTGGCTGTGGCACTGAGTGCTCTGGTCTAGTTGACACAGTGGTGTTCAGTCAAGGGTTGTACCCAATGGTCTTGGAGGTCTTTTCCAACCTTAGCAATTCTGTGATTCTGTGCCCTGTACAGTGGGTGCTCTGTGTGGCAGCACAACATCCAAAACATCCTTGTGTAATGCAAAGGATCAATATTTTGGAGGCAAGATTAGGAATACAAGATGCTTTTACAGTATGAAAAGGACTTACATGGAATTTAAACACTGTGAACTGCATGGCAACTTCCTGCAGCCCCTAAAAATTTAAATGCAGACATGAACTAAGCTGGATGCACCATGAGCAGCAGGGCCAATGTTGTCTTGCTGTGACTACAAAAATAGAAAGGTTTTTATTACCATATTCACAAACTTTTGTGAACTTTATAGAGTTATTGCATACAATGTTATATGCAGAGCTGCAAGAAAACATCGTATTTCTTTGAAAAATACAAACATACTACTGAGCAAACAAAGGGGGGAAAAACCACCTGGAAATGGATGAAATTCTATGCTGAAAGTTTAGATGTTGCACTTTCTTGTTATGCTTATGAAATGTTAAGCAGTTTGTTAAATCTGTTCCTAAATGTCAAACTTCTGAGGGTGGCTTTGAGCCAAGGCCTGTGCTGGAGGGTAGGAAGTGACAGGAAGCTGTTCCACTGGCAGGAAGCTGGAGCCAGGAGCATGGAATACAGAGTGTAGTGGCATCTGTTGTGGTGTTTGTCTGGACCATGTTTACTCCCTCATTAGGTCAGGTCTGACTGTGGTTTAAGAAATACTGCTTCTTAAAATGGCTTTGTCTCCCAGGTGCAGAAGGCTTGAAAGAAAGGGGCAACAAATCAGTAGCACAGACAGACTTTTCTGAAGAGGAGTGGGAGTCTGGTTTGTTGTGGGCAGGCAAAACACGGGAAATCCTCATATACGTGAGTGATGGAGGTGGGGAGGAAAAGCCTCCCACAGAAGGAAAACTTTGGGCATGGAGCTGGTGGTAGAGCCAATTTTATGTTTGATCCAAAACTGGCTCCCTTTGATGTTGTTTTATAGTGGTCACATGTGTTTGGGGAGCTGAAGGCTTGAGTTTTAGAATTTTAGGCCTAGAAATTCTAAGATTTTGTTCTTGTAGACTTTATGCTTGCATGAAAGTAATTGGATGCAAATGTTTGCTTGTGGCAGACTTCGTGCCCCATGTTACATCTTAAAAATCAATGGAAATATGTTTGGGAACTGTCTGATTGTTGGGTTCTGTGGTGGTTTTTTCACTGTATTTTTTTTTAATTGGATGTACAGAAAGAGCTTGGATGTTGAAGGTTTGCTTTTGAGCTGTTATTCTCTAGGGAGTGATCTAGTATTGCAGATCACAGTGAAAAGCAGTTTCAAGGTGTTTACATATAAATGAAATTGTTTTCAAACATATTGAGGTGTGACTTACAAGACCAAAAAGTTATGACAGCACACAATGAAAAATGGTAGTGCTTTTATGAAAGCTTAAGGCCAGGCAAACTTATTGAAACTTTACAAAAAGAAGCTTACAGCAATTATGTCTTACTAGACTGATACATGTAAAAAGAGAAGGCTTTCAGAGACCAAGGGAAGTGCTGGTGTGCCTGAAGGCTCATCTGTGTTCCTCTAACTTATCAGTTAGTGTAATAAAATATCTTCTGTATAGGAAATAGAAACTGGGGCAGTTACAAGTCCAAAACACCAGCAAGTCTAGTAAAGCTGACTGTTCTCTGTGGGGTAAAACATCTAGAATTGTCATTAATCACAGAATCATAGGATGGTTTGAGTTGGAAGGGACCTTAAATATAATCTCATTCCAAGCCCCAGGAATGATATTTGTCAGACAAGGATTTTAAGATGACAAGACTGAACACACAAGTACATTGAGTGCAGCATGGATAGAACAATATCTGTGGGCAGCTGTGTGGGTGAAGCAGCAGATGCTCAGAGGATAAGCTGTTTATCACAGTAGCAACTTACAGTATCATTAAGTGAAATATATAGAGAAGTAGAACTACAACTGAGAAGTTCTGAAGATTGTTGCTTTCCAAGCACTACATGGGCACATTTAAGGCATCAGTTTATCCATTTATAAGCTTCTGTCACCTTCTGTGTACACTGTGTGACTTAACCACTGTAACACTCCAACAGAAAGAAGTAACTTTTACAATCATAATTAACATACAAATCTGGTCCTTTGACTGGTTTTGTCATTTGTCCTCTTGCTGGGTAGTCATCAGTGGTTTGATTCTCATAATTAAAAAACAAACAAGCAAAACCCAAAACAACCCAAAAACCACAAACACACACACACACACACAAAGCTAAAATTTTGAAAACATTGCAATAAAATTAAATTCTATTTTTTTCCCTTTTTTTTTGATCAAGACAGTTTCTAAAGCTTTCATGTGAAACGCACTTGTTTAGAGTTAAAGCTAGTAATCTAAACGTTTGTAAATGAAGGATTTCATGATGGGATAAGTAAACACATTTAAATATTGTCATGCTTTCCTATCTTCCCTGCCACTGCTGCCTTCCCTCCTCCCACCCCGTACAGAGACTTCTGACACTTCCACTTAGCAGGGTCTTAGTAAATGAGCCAGAAGAGCTTTGCCTTGGCACACTTCTGCTGGCTGCATTTGGAATTCAGTGATGAAACCCAGAGGGGAAACAGGACCACAAGAGTTCAACAGTCTGGTACTAGTGCTGCAAAGCATCAGATGTGGAAGGAATCCTACTATTCCTGAGACAGCTCTTTCCTGAGAATTTGGGGGCAGGGGAAAGGCATGTTATGTGGTTGGTTTGCTTAGTTTGATTCTTCTTTTGTTTTAAAAAGTCTGAGTTTGAACTACTAAATCTGTAGCACCTTCAAACCTGAGCTCATGTAACTAAAACAGCAGTGTAAGGGTTTCTCTGTGTATCAAACTAGGGGAGAAAGACAAAAATTATAATGGGATAGGATTTTAGAAATCAGCTACTGTTATTTTATGGCAAAGAAAAGGAGTTTTTTTAGTTGGGTTTTGTTTACTTTGGTTTGTTTTTTTTTTTTTGTTATTGCATAGATATTTTTGTTGGGTTTGTTTTCCCAGAAGGGAAAATTATACCTGTGTTTTCTTACCATTTAACAGACTAATATTTCTCCTGTTCATAACTATCATGGGATGAATATTTGTGCACTACAATCTTGTTACAGCAAGTGTAACAAAAATCCAGAGTGATGACAATGGTATTTGGTATTACAGCCAGCCTATTTGTAGCTGATAAAACACATTTTTACACTTATGTTTTAGTTATCCTCTCACAGACTCCTTAACATGACACATACGTGCTTGTAATTTTCTGGAGGAGGCAGTTTGATAGATAATAACCATCTCAAGCAGCAAAGGGAGAAACTTAATCCACTGTTTAACTATGCTGACTTTTTTTTTATGAGGAGAAAATGAGTCATAACTGAGGCAGGGGAAGAATAAGATAAATAAAAGCTGCCCACAATAGCTAATAATAATTACAAAAAGTACTATGCTGATTTTGGGATCTGGCAGCTGAGAATAATACATTTAATAGCAACATTCCTTGGTAACTTGGTGAGAATGAATGTCAAAGTATTTAATTGGGAATGCAGGCATTCCTTCCTGTAACGAGCATCTTGGAAGATCTCCTTTTTCCAGTGAGCTGTGCATAAAGCTGTGAACAGGACAGAAATGTTCGTGTCATCATCACTTGGGGCTCCATCCAGCTCTCACTAAAATCACTGACAAAATTCTTGCTGATGTCACTGAAGTGGATGGGACCTCAGATCGTGTCTGTGAAGGGGGATAACACTTCCTTTCTTTTTTCCTGTCAAGTCTGAGTAGTCTCACCTACATCTGAAAATGTAAGTTATGAAATTTCTAAGTCCTAGGCACCATTATTTTTCCATTTGAACTTCCCTCCACATAAATTTATTGCTTTTATCTTAATTTCATGTAACGTGTAAGTTAGGGTTTAGTAGTGAAAACTGGTTATTTACTTTCAAAGGGCAGTGCCAAAAGGGATACATTTATTAAGATATACTTGCTCTTTCCTGTTGTGGCACATAAAGTAATCATAACAATGCTTTTGATGAAACACTATTGTTAGGACAGCTATACATAAATG